CGGCTTCTTTCCTTTTTTTAAAACAGGTTTCTCTCTGTAGTTTTAGAACTTGTGTATGGACCAGGCTGGCCCTGAACTCAGAAATCCACTTGCCTCTGCCTCCCAAGTATTAGCATTAAAGGTGTGCATCACCCCATTGACATTTGGGTTTTCTTGTCTGTGAAAACAAAAAAATTCCTGTGTTTGACTATTATCCCTTCTGTTTTGTGGTGCTCCCCTTAGTTGGTTAGCTTTATTTTCCAAGTTTTCTAGTTAACATTTAAGATAAGAGTAATATCTGGAGCTGGGTATAGTATCGCACACCTTTAATCCCTGCATTTGGGAGGCACAGACTCAGGAATCTCTCTGAGAGTTCAAGGCCAGTCTGATCCACATAGTGAGTTTCAGGACAGCCAGAGCTACATCTAGAGTTCCTGTCTCAAAAAAACAAAACAACCACAGTAATAATAATATATGGAGTCAGGTGTATGTCAGGTCCAAAGGATACCCAAACCCCCAAACTCCAAAGACACTCCAAATATCCAGAAATGAGCTCACTTGGACTGTTGGAGGATTTCTGGTGGTTACATGAAAGCCGACATCCTTAGGAACTTGGAAACTAGTTCTCTTACCTCAGCCAGGAGGGGCACATGGGTACCGTGGCACCTATCAGCATAGCAAAGCCCATGCTGGCCTGCAGGCCCTTGTAATGCAGGTACCAGGTATACACTTCAAAGTCCACACTAACTAGCATCCTGGCCCTTCTCACCTCTTCCCTCCCCTAAGGTCCCTCTAGCTGAGAGCTTCCCTTCCTGGCTACTCTTTCTTATAACCCTGCTATCCTCATTATGTTCTCTCTGCATGGCTTCTGCTTGGCTCACTAAGTTTTCTCTAGTCTCTGTCCCCTGCTATTCTCTCTCTTTCTCAGAGAGCCCTACCATGTCCAGTCTACTTCTTTCTCTCTCTGATCTGGACTCTTCTAGATGTTTCTGGTTGTTCTCTAGCTCATCTGCAATAAAAATGTTCTCCTTAACCATGGAGTGGTCATACATCAGTCTGTACAATGTGGTGATTGATGTATGCCTGTTACCCCATACTGGGAGGTGGAAGATGGAGTTTGAGGCCACCCTGGGGTGCTGACCAGGGACAGGTACTGTGACTGTGTTCCCCATTGCCCTTGGAGGTCTTTGCACAGACTCTCTATTTTTAATTTCGCCTGACTGTGAGGGTTTTGTTTCTTTATCTTTGCTAACTTGCTGTTTGTGAACCTAGGAAACTGCTCTTCTGTGCTTACCGCTCACTGTCAGCTCTGCGTGGGCCTCTCTGAGGCTGAAGTTTGCTCTGCCTCCCAGTGCTTTGTTCTTATCATGTAGACGTCCAAGACCACAGGAAATGGAGGACTGCAAAGGCTTTTAATGTCGTTTTCAGTCCAGCAAGGGTTGATTCCCAAGCAATGCCCAAATGCCACCCTTCTCCAGCCACAGATGAAATCTTTGCTGCTCCAAATGCTCATGGCTCAAGCTGACAAGGCCAGGCTGAAACTGCTTTGATCTTGCCACCATAAATCGGGTGACTGTTCCTGAGAGGGAGGAGTTCTGGCCCCCTTTTCACCTGTTTTCCCTCGGGACAGAACCCATAGGTGTGTACTAACCTCCAGTTCCAGCTCTAGTCTCATCTGGAGCACTCACTGGAAGAAAGAACTCACTTTCCGGGGAACCAGACCCTTGGAGAGAGAAATCCCTGCATGGGGCCAGGAGTATAGCTCAGTGGGAGGACGCCTGGCAAGCATAAAAAAGCCCTTGTTCTGTATTTAGTACTGAAGGAGAAGAGGTTGGCACATGGTGAAATTTCAGAGTTCCCAGCCCCAAGGATTCCCTTTTTGTCTCAAATGATAACACTCTACAAATAGAAACTGTCACCAGGTTTGTTTCACTCTGCTCTCTGTCCAGTTTCTTACACTCTCTACTACATTAATTTGAAAGAAACATGCAGCGCATAGTATAGATCGATGATCACAGTAAAGAGAATTCAGTAAACCAAAGCACTCTCAAGGCAGAGTGGGCAATGAACGGAGGGACCACTGCTTAGATTGACATTACAAGATGGACTTTATACTGGTTCTTAAAGTGTCTAGGGCACAAGGAGAGAGGCCCATCCTCGATGTCCACCAAGCTCATGGATATTTATTTAGCTACATAAAAGAAACAACACTGTGCATATATTTGAGTGTTCATTATCATTGAGACCGGGTCTTGCTATGTAACCATACTACTCAGCAACCTACCCCCAACGTCCGTACTCACACAGTTTTCTGAGGGACTTCAGGCTGATTTCAAGGCCTGACCACAGCCCTCAAAAAGCAACTTTTAAATTAAGATATTATGTGTGTGCGATGTGTGCATGTGTGTGCCAGGAAGCACTCTGAAGATCAGAGGACGATCTTGGGGGTCCTTCCTTGCCTTCTACCTTGTTGTTTGCCACTTTGTATGCCATGTGAGTTAGTCTACAGCTTTGTCCTGTCTCTGCCTCCTTTTTGACTATAGAAGCACTGGAATTACAGATGTGGGCCACTGAGCCTGGCTTTACATGGTTCTGGGACTCAAGCTAGTCATGTTTGCACTCTAGTGTTTGGACCCAGTGAACCCTCTCCCCAGCCCTGAACTTTAAAAGAAGAAAGTGACACCTAAGAGTTGTTGGGAGGCAGAGGCCCCGAGTAGAGACCAGGAATGATTAAAACCTCCTTGGAAGAACAGTTGGGAACTCTGGAGAATCAAAGTGCTGGAATTTGCCTCTCAGATCACTTCTTAGGATCTTGGCCATAAGTGAGATACTGGTATATGGCAGACCTTTCAGAGGTAGTTAAAGTAACCCAGATATCTGAATTCAGAGCTCATTGCTGCTGGATACTTACAGATGCCAGTGAACAGAGGCAAGAACTGAATCTTGGGGAATGGAAAGATGCCTCAGCAGTAAAGAGCACATTCTGCTAGTTCAGAGGACCTGGGTTTGGTTCCCAGTGCCCACATGGCAGCTCCCAATCATCTGTAACTCCAGTTCCAGGGGTTCAGGTGCCCTCTTCTGACCTCTGGGGAATTGCACACATAGACATGGTACACACACACACAAAAAAATTATACACATAAAATAAAAAACTTAAAAAAGAAAGGAGTGCACTCTATTCTGAGAGGCTCAGTCTGAGAAGTCAGAGGATTATCATTTTCCAAGTCTGTCTTCCCTTTGTCTTCAGTAGGCTGATTATATGGGAAGGGAAACAAAAACAATCAATCACTCCAAGTCCAGTCTGGTCTCACTCAAGTGGTTGGGCTTGGATCTGAGTTCTGCTTTTCCTTCTCCCTGTGTGTGGAATACAGGAGTGTTCACTTACACCAAGGTTACAAAGTCTTGCATTTATCCTGAGACAACAATACTTCAGGTTAGCTCAGAACAAATCAATAGATGGGTTTGTGAACACTTTCCACCCAAGACATTCAAATACGCTCTTAGAATTTAGAGTATGGATATATGCACCCCTAGCTGTCATCTACAGCAGAGCTTCCTGTGAGGTCATGACTGGCTCCTGTCTGCTCCTCAGCTTACTGTACGACCACCTCTTTTCTCTCCTTGTCTATGTCCCCACCACTGAATTGCCACCCACCATGAGGTTGTCACCAGAGCCAAGCTGAGGCCAGTGCCATACTTTAACTTCAAAACTGGGATTAAATGAACCTCTTTTCTTTATAAATGTACCCAGCCTTAGATATTTCATTATAGTGTTTGAAAACTGAAAAATACAAGGATTCTATAACCATCAATTGTGAGATTTTTTGTTCTGTTCTGTATAACTCTGTCTTCCTAAATGTTCATTAGTAGTCAGCTATAACCAAAATGAACATGCTTGCTTTTGTGAGTAGCATCAGTGGAAACAGCACGTGTTACATGCTTAGAGAGAAAAGTGGAAAGAAGAGGAACATGTTCTGAGAGCCAAGTGAAACCGACAACACGATAGAACCATAATCAGAAATAAGAGAAACCATGTTCTGTAGACTCAAATGTTCCAAGACAGCCTATTTTCCTTTTCTTTTCTTTTCTTTTCCTTTCTTCCTTTTTTTTCCCCCTGAGACAGGGTTCCTCTGTAGTTTTGAAGCCTGTCCTGAAACTATCACTTGTAGACCAGGCTGAACTCGAACTCACAGAGATCTGCCTGCCTCTGCCTCCCGAGAGTTTGGATAAAAGTCCTGCATCACCACCACCTAGCTGCTCCGTGAGATCTTGAGATGCTGGGGTGGTAGTGGATGCTGGCACCCCACTGCAAAGAGAAGAGGGAGCTGAAGAAGCTGCATTTGAATACCATGAGAGCCAAGCACCTTGGATGGATGATTTGGACTGCCAAGATGGCAGAGACCTGGGATACAGATGAGCCTTGTTTTGCAGCCTGCAGGTTCCCTCCTTAGTTAAACTAAACTGCTTCCTTGCAGAACTGCTCTATGGTTCCTTCCTCACTGTACGCAAATGATCCAGCTTCCAAAAGTAACTTTCCTTTTCTGGAGTTTTCTGCTATCTGCCACAATTAGGATAAGGGAAGATTAACAACCTGCTGTGCAGCTGGACTATCTGAATGGAACAATGAAACACAATAGCTACTTAACAACCCAAGTTGGGAAAACATTTCTGAAATAAAAAAAGGGCTTCGTTTAACTTTAGAAAAAATACATCACGTACCGGAGAGATGGCTCAGCTGATACAAGTGCCTGCCAGGAAGCTTGACGGCCTGAGCTGGATTCATAGCACAAGGACAGTCAGTCCCACAGCGCAAGGACAGTCCCACAGTGCATGGACAGTCCCACAGCGCAAGGACAGAACTGCCCTCCAGTCTCTGCTTCTCAGAGACTGACCAACCACCACACAACCAACCACCCGTGACACATACTACAGCAAAAAGCAAGTACCATCATCCAAAGAAAGCACAAAGAAGCAATTGAGGAGGAGGAACGGAGGTCTTAAAAGGAAGCCCCGTAGGATGCTTGAGCAAGTAGCAGGGCAAGGAGGTCAGGGGTCACTCAGGCGGATGCTCATGCACAGGAGGGCACTGCATCCATCAGGTGCACAAAAAGAGAGAACAAAGTCAGACAGCCAATATTTTTAATTCAAAGTAAGGTATCACCTGGTCCAGACACCTGGCACTTGCTGGCCAGCAGACAAGAAAAGCTGCTGTGCACTCGGCTTGCCTAGCAGATATAGGCTCGGCACATACGGAGCCTCAGAATCCCCCTGCTCTGAACTGTGGTGGGGCCGGATGCAGAACAGGCCTTGTTGAAAATATCCTTGATGATGTGCAAAGGCAGGGGCCAGGATTTGCCAGGGTACCACCCCAGCTTTCCCACCTTGAAGGGAATCTCAGAGACTCCTTTTGTGCTGGGGTTATAGAGAAAGTGAACTAAAGTCTTGGCAGGCATTACAGGGCTCCAGTACAGGCAGCTGGGAGGGCTGGACGTCAAGGGCTAGCGTGGTGAACACCGCAGAGTGTCACATGCAGCGACAGGTTCAGGATGTTCTGCAATTCCACTGAACTGGGAAGAGGCACAGCTAGCTTCCTCTGCCTTCTCCCCAGGCCCCCTCCTGCCAGCTTGTACAATCATTTGTCCTGAGTGCAGTCACATATCAGACTAGGGAACAGCCTGGGCAAGAGGGAGATGCCAAACTTCTTCTTGAAGTATGTAATCTTTACCCTCCCTCTCTGTCCTTTCAAGAAGCCTCATTCTGGTGGGTGGTCAGCGGGGCCAAGCAGCACTGAATTCCTTCTCCAGGTCCTGGACAAACTGGTCATTGAGGAAAAGCAGCTGCCCATGTGGCAGGAAGCGGGCGAGGATCCCCTCAATGCGGTCAGCCCTCAACAAGAAGTTGTTACCTGGTGTCAGCAGCCGCAGGTGGTCAAGAAGGAGGCGGACCAACAGCCGGAGTGTGCTCTCAGCCAGCAGCAAGTTCTCATGGGTATCCAGCACCAGGGCAAAGCCTAGTGAGAGCACACCCAGCCACACCACTGTCTGTGGCTCCTGGAAAGGGTCCCCGGCTCCCAGGTAGAAGGCTCCATGGGGGGCCTCATGCAGAGACACAGGCTCATCGGAGAACTGAGGCTGCGGGTCTGTGGAGGGACATCCAGATGCTTGCTGCTGCAGCCGGCACAGTGACTCCACCTGCCTGGAAGAGGAGAGAGGAGTCAGGTCACCAAGGTGCCATCCCTGCCCCCCCCCCGTCCCCCCGTCCCCCGGACACTTCTGTCAACTTCCAATGTAGCTGGGAGCTGGAATGTCTCATATTGGGTAAAGAAACTTAGGCTTAGAAAGCTTAAGTGATCCAGGGATGCGGAGCCAGGGAAATGTGACGAGACAGAAATCCAGGCTCCAGCCTGAATCACTTAACTCTGAACGGCCAAGAGAAGGCAGGATCTGAACACAGCTCCTTGGGCTGGGAAAAGGACTAGGGGTGAAGTCTTGTCTCACTCGCCTCGCAGAAGCCTCCTCAACAGAGGCAAGTAAGTGATGGGAATAACAAAGTCGTCCAGCATGGCCGGCTGACCTCTCAACCATTCACCCTTCTCCGAGTCCTAAGCACCTCCCACATGACTGTCAAGGCTGCCCCCACCGCTTCCTGAATCATCTTCTAGATCAGGCCCTTCACAGACTGACTTTAAAGCCTTGCGTTTAGCCGGGTATGGTGGTGCATACCTATAATTCTAGCATTGGGAGGAGGAGGCAGGGGGATCGGTTCATTCTAGCCTGGAATACACAGAGAAGTGAAGGGCAGCCTGAACCTGAAAATTAGGCTCTGTCTCAAAACAAATAACTCCAACAGGTCGTTGCTTAGTTCCGTCTGTGCTGCAAGAGGGGAACCAGGTAGAGAATAAGGGGTTGGCAAAGAGCTGCACAACTCACGTGTGTCTGGGAAGAAAGGTCCCAGTCTATCCACCTCCCTCATTCGATGCTTTCCAAAACGGCTCTGTGTCTCCGGCATTCAGCAGCCCTGAGTCTCTGCTAATCATCACGTTCTCTCTCTCAGGAAGACCTTCACTAGAAAGCATGTTTCGTGTGCACGAGTCTGCCTGCTTATACTCTAATCTCCATTTCTAGCCATGTTTTCGTTGCACAACCTTGGGCAGGTTAAGTTCCTTAGCCTCTGTATGTCAGCTAACTCTTCTGGAAAGTGAAGATAATAATATAGCCACCTCAGAGGACTATGAGGATTACGTAATATACATGAAATTCCCTGAACCACCATAATGATAATCACGTTCTTTCTTTAGCTCTTTTTCATAGGAATACGTATACACAGTGGTGGGGACCAGGGGACATCGTGACTCCTCGTCTTCCTTCACTGTCCAACTCCAGCATCCCTCATAATCAGCTCTGTGTTTGATGAAGCTTGGGGCGGGGCTGTGACATTACCTGGCCACGGCCAAAATCTGTTCCTTGCGCAAGAGCCTGTCCCTTTCTGCACCACATGGCCGTGGATCATCGGGTGACTTCTCAGCACCAAAGACACAGGAGTAGAGCACTCGGCAAAGGCCTGTTTCTTCCGAATTCGGGGCCCTCAAGGTGTGGATGAGGAAGGCATGGACCATGGCTCCAGGGTGGATGCTGCAGAGAAGCCAGAGACCTACGAGGGGAAAGTGAAACCCCTGCTAAGGAGGTCCTCTCGAGGAGGGTGTGGCCTGGGAGTGTGCCCAGAGAGTGTTGTGGTTGGACACTGATCACCTATCTACTTAGATATGCCTAGCCTCTGAATAATGTAATGTCTGGTCTGCATTGAGAACAAGGGTGGAGATGTCTCCTACAACACTAAACCCACTTCTGCAAAACTATCCGGAAATCTCCAAAAGCATCAAGGTCATGAGAGTACAGGAAAAACTGATGACCAGAGGCCACAGCTGAGTGCTCCTGGGACAAAACCAACTAGACTCCACAGTGTGCGCGATTAAGACAACTTAAGTGTGGAGTATGAGATGGGAGGGAGAGTTTTTTGTTTGGTTTTGGTTTTTCGAGACAGGGTTTCTCTGTGTAGCTTTGTAGCCTGCCCTGGAACTCGCTCTGTAGACCGGGCTGGCTGACATGGAAGTCTTGATCAATGCCACTTGGTTTTGAATGGAGGAACGTGTCTTTGTTTTAGAAACTACACACGAAAATACCTCTAAATGCCGCATCTGCAACTGATTCTGATCAACGGGAAGAAAAAGGACAGAGCGAGTGTGGCAAACCTTTATCCAAAGGGCTCTATCTAGTTAACCAAAACTATTTCAAAAACAAGACATGTGACACATACCTGAAATCCCACTCGGGAGGTGGAAACAAGAGGATCAGGAATTCAAGTCAGCCACAGATATATGGGGAGTCCCTGGCTGCTCTGGACAACGTGAGACAGTGGCGACCCCGGGGTTGCAAGGCTGAGGGGGCCACAGTAGTTAGTCCCGGTCAAGACTAAACAGATCAAGAATTGAAAGTTATCAGACAGGTAGGTTCGCAAACCCGCTTCAGGAATGGAAGTCAGGTTTATAGGCCTTGACCTCTGGTCATCTTTCTGCCGCCAGCAGCGAACGTCATCAACCCCGGCCACCGTGCTCCCTCTTTCCCTGACGGCCTCATTGCGTCACTGCCTCGCGCGGGCAGTGGCGCGCTGGACTCTGGGGGTTGTAGTGCGGACTCAATCCTGGGTCTGTGGTCCGGGCGTGGGGCCCTAATTCCTGAGGGCGCGCAGGCTTCTGACTAGCCGATTCCCTCGACTGCGAGAGCGCCCTGGAGGGTTCAGGGGGCCGGCGAGCTTCTCTGGAGGCGCTGGAAAGCCCTTGACTAGCTGCGGCCTGGCCACCGCTAGGGTGGCCGCCAGAGGGCGCTGTGGCTGCTGCGACATGAGCCAAACTTTCCACGGAGGCCTGCGCACCGCTACCTCTAAGCTACTTGTGTGCGACCGAATTGCTGGAGCGGAGCCCTGCCAGCTGAAACGCACACCAGAAGGTGATGACTTTGGAAAGATACGAATATGCGAGCAGTTGTGAAGATTCTATATTGTTGGTTCCTTCAGTGAGTTAAGGCTGATCCTGGATTTCACATAGGATTCCAATTCTAGTCCCAACTTCGACGTAGTTGTGTAGCCCTGGCAGGTCTGCCAACTTTGTTAAGCCCCAGTGAAGCCCCATCTAGAGACAGCTGGGGCAAGTGTTTAAGGCTATCTTTCCCTTTTGCAGCCGCTGCTAGACTCCTCACAGGGAGGACATTTCTAACTTAAGAGATCTAAAACTAAGGTTTGATCCAAGTGGTACCACCAGCATTAGGGTGAAGATCCAGTCTGGAAACATGGCCCAAGTGGTGTTTGGGGCAAAGGTGCATACAAATTATTTTACCGCTTACTAGGCATGTGAATTCTTAGGCTTCCTTAAGTATGTCCCAGTCTTACGTGCCTCGAAGGCCCCACCAGGGATGTCCCCTCAGATTATTCCCTAAGTGACTCTGACCAAAACTTTTGTCTCTTGTGGGGCCCATCTCTGCCATGGTTCCCGTCTTTGCTCCCCAAGGCCAGGGTTATACTTACTTGAATACTGTCTGATAACAAAGAAATGAAAGAGCAGAGTGGCCCAGGCAGGGCTTCTGAAGAAAGACCTCCATGAAGGACTTTGGCAGGCGGTTGGCAGGGGGAATAGATGGTGCACAGGCTGTGGGGGGTTTGATGTCAGGTGCAGGTGAAAGGACGGGCCCAGAGGCAGTGTGGGGCCTCAATCAGAGAGTCAGGGGATGATGTTGGCTCCTGGTGCTCTGTCCCTATCACTCTGGGCCAGGCCTCATGTCTGCCAGCAGATTGTAACTAAGAACTGGCAGAGGGCACTGGGAATATGATATCCTGGTCTCTGTTCACCACCCGGCCAGTCCATGTCAAGTTCAAAACCACTGGAGAGTTGACCTTGTGTGGGGTGTGTGAAGAAAATGCGCTGAGCCGTCACCCTGGAAGATGGTGGAGGGCCCTGATGAATGTGGTGGTATCACAGAAGGCTTCCCTGCGAGCGCTGGGGGCAGACAGCAGCGGAGGTCTCACCTGATGGTTTTGCTTGGGGCTGTTGTGGAAGTGCCCTGGGAGAGCTTTTCCTTGTGGCCACTGGCCTCTTCTGATTTTAAGCTATGCTTCAGAGAGTCTGTGGGGCGCCCTGGAAACACTCAGCCATGCCGAATCAGACATGATCAAAAGCAGCCAGTTCAGTAGTGTCCCCCTTCAAGGTTAGCCATGCACTTTCAAAATGTTGGAAATCCACGAAAATAATCATTTACTTTGAATGCTTTTGTTGTTGTTTCTCTCTCTGTGTGTATAGCCCTGGTTGGCCTCAGACTCAGAGATCACATGCCTCTGCCTCCCAAGTGCGCAACCACTGCCCAGTTTGAATTCTGGTTTTAAAACAAAACTAAGCCAGGTGGTAGTGGCGCACGCCTTTAATCCCAGCACTTGGAGGCAGAGGCAGGTGGATCTCTGAGTTCGAGGCCATCCTGGTCTACAGAGGGCATCCAGGACAGGCTCCAAAGCTAGAGAGAAACCCTGTCTCAGATAAAAACAAAAAACAAACTAAAAGCCAGAAAGTGCAGGGGCTGGAGAGATGGCTCAGCGGTTAAGAGCATTGCCTGCTCTTCTAAAGGTCCTGAGTTCAATTCCCAGCAACCACATGGTGGCTCACAACCATCTGTAATGAGGTCTGGTGCCCTCTTCTGGCATGCAAGCATACACACAGAAAGAATATTGTATACATAATAAATAATAAATAAATATTTTTTAAAAAAGCCAGAAAGTGCATACCTTCAATCTCAGCACTGGAGAGGCAGAAGCAACCAGGTGAAGATACACAGTGAGACCTTTCTCAAAAGTAAATAAATAAACTAAGAATGTAATAGAATCCGTTCCCTGTACTGGAAAGATACAGGCTTGAGCCAAGCATAGTTCAAGTTTATAATATAAAAAGAAACCTGGGCGTCGTCTCCTCTGGCAGATGACTAAGCCACACATCACAGAACAGGATGGAAAGTATTTGGAATGTGAGTTCTGCTTCCCACAGCAGCCAGCATGGAGGAGAGAGAGGAAGGGGGAGGACTCGAATAAGATGAAGGATGGGTTTGACCTGAAAGAGGACAGAGAGCCTGACGTGGTGCCCTCACAAGAACGCTTTCCCTGGGGAGACATAAACAAACCTGCGCTGCTTCTGTACAGAGAAAGAGTCCCCCAGAGCCCGACTTGGGGTAAAAATGAGTTCTTCCAGCCTCTTTATTAGGTACAGCACAGGGGAGAGACTGGCTAGTCTCGGTAGGCAGTCTCTATAGGAGGACAGTCTAGGCCGTACCATCCAGCAGGACACCAGAGTTGCTAGTCTTTGCACACGCTGATCAGTTGTTCATAAACATTTACACATTGACTCATCAGGAAAGATTTGCCATCCCTCTTGAGCCTGCCCCATATGGGCTTTGCAAATTTCCCATGAGTCAGTTGGAGTCCTTGACAGGCAATGCCTTTGTCAAAATGCACATTCCCTCAGCACTCACTCAGGGCTTCCTCTACCACTCCCTATGGGAATGCCAACCATCAACAAACCTGATCTTGGGAGACTCTTGCAAAGACTCATAGCTGTTCTTTTTGTTGTTGTTTTTGGTTTTTCGAGACAGGGTTTCTCTGTTTAGCTTTGGAGCCTGGACTGGAACTAGCTCTTGTAGACCAGGCTGGCCTCGAACTCACAGAGATCCGCCTGCCTCTGCCTCCTGAATGCTGGGATTAAGGGCGTGCGCCACCACTGCCCGGCACTCATAGCTGTTCTGATGAAGATGATGGTTGTTATACTTGGAGGAGAGCATTCTACAACAGGCTCGAATGCCTGTAATTACAACACTTGGGAGATAAAGGCAAGAGGATAATGAGTTCAAGACTAGCCTCAACTACACAATGAGTTTGAGGCCAACTTGAGCTACTCAAGATATTGTCTAAAACTAGGGGTCAGGAGGAGAAGGAAAGCATACTATATATCCATTCTTGAGCTGAAGACAGTCCTCTGGATATTTCTAGCAGATTCTATGCAGACAAGTGCAGTAGCCACAGCAGGCAGGACTTAAAGAGGAGCAATAAGCCTGGCAAGGTGGCGGTGGTGGCACACGCCTTTAATCCCAGCACTCGGATGCAGAGGCAGGAGGATCTCTGTGAGTTTGAGGCCAGCCTGGTCTACAAAGTGAGTTCCAAGACAGCCAGAGCTGTTACACAGAGAATTCCTGTCTCAAAAAATAAACGCACACACACACACACAACAAAAGCAAAAGCAAGGAAGAGGAGCAATAGATTAACAAATGGGAAGAGTCCAAGCATTGACTCCGCAGGAGCAATCTGTGTAGACTGCATGCAGGAGGTGGTATCTGGGGACTAAGTTGTAGCAAATGCAAATGATGGGAAGAAGCCAGTCTTCCTAGATTCGGACTCCTAACCTTTCTGTGTTATCCCAAGGACCAGAGTCCCATAAACAATTTCTCCCACGTACTGGGGCATTGAAGGCACCACCTGAGTTAGGGTTTAAGCAAACTGATTTTGCGTGAATGTAATGCACAGACATGCATGTAAGCACAACACTCAGACACATGAAGATAACAGCTTTCAAGCTGTAGTCTTGTTCAGGTCGTGGGACTTACAGTGTCATTATCTGACCTTTTGCAGCCCTCAGCCATTTGTGGCCCTTGAGGCTGAAAGACCTAGCTGCAGATAATAGTGGAAAGCATCTGGGGCCTGGAAGTGATGATCATTTACGCATGCGTGATAAAGCCACTTCACGGGTACATGGAGTCAGAGATATCCCTAGCTGATGCAGCTTGGGAAGCGGGCAGAGGGAGCCTAGCACCTAGTAGGGACTCAGTGGCTTAGAGGCAGATGGGGGAAGACATTTATTAACCCTGGGAAGACAGGTCCTGATGGCAACTCAGAGACGGGGCGGGACAGGTCAGACACACTGGGTTATGGGGCCTCTCCCAAGCACTGAGCAATGAGTTGCGTATTGGTTGTGTGAGGCTCGGTATTAGCCCAGCACTTGAGGCAGGAGTGGGTACACAATAGATTTAGGTGTGGGATTCCATGTACCATGTATGTGTAACAGGCAGAGGAGGTAAGAAGGAACAGAATGTAATAAGTTACTACGACAAAAACAGAGGAGCTTGAAGGGGACAGATGGCTGGATCCATGACCCAGCTCTCAGCCTAGATGGGCAGAGAGCCACCCTCCATGCCTTTGGATTGTTAAGGGTTGCCTGCAGCCCTCGCGCATCCCAAACACTGGCATCTTCTCCCCTGTCTATTCCCGCTCTCTAGTAGCAGGCTGCTAGGGTTCCTGTTTGAATTCCCTTGGTACCCATTGCTAGGACGTCTGTGAAGCGGCTGCTGCTAACTCAGGCTGGATCTAGAATTGCAGCCAGGCTTGGTAAGATGTAGCTTCTCCCAGATGTCTCTCCAATCTCCAAGTTCCCACCTGCCGGGGAGAGTGAGCTCCTTTCCCTTTGTTTTTGAGAGCTAGAAATTCTGAGACCTCAGGCTATCACTGCCTGCATCTGGATGT